TTTTTTTTTTTATCACAAAAACATTTCTCTGTCAATATATATATATATGTGAGGCTTAGACTCTTACCCCTCTGTTTCCCTTTTTTCCCTCTTTCTCCTGGCCATTTTGCGTGCATTTCCCCCAAACCCAGAACAGAAAAAACAGCAAAGCAAAACCAAAAAAGGAAAAAAAAAATTAAAAACACAAAAAACCCAGTTTTCTCAAACCCTATTGTTCATCATCATAACAAAGAGAAAACTCAAAATACAATAATTTTGGCTGCAAAAACCCATTCTTTCCTTATTGTTTTTCATGTTATATTGGTTGAGATCTTATCCCTCATAAAAAGGTAAAAAATAACAAATTAAGAATTAAATCTAATCTCATTGATTGTAATCTCAGCTAAAGATTTTTTCTTTTTTACCCATTTGGGGTTCTTGATTTTTGAATTAAAATGGGAATTTTTGAGTTTTTTTGATGAAAAGATGAGATTTTTGGAAAAGGGTGTTGGATTTTTCACTTTGATTCCACAAAACTGAAACAAGTTTGAGTTTTTCTGTACAAATTTTAGGGTTTTTGTTCTGTTCTTGGGTGCTGAATGATTGTTCTTTTGCTGGTTTTGATGGAATTTTCTAGGGTTTTCAAATCGGATCAGTGACTGGGGGAAAGCGCCAAGTAATTTTCGGGTTTGATCAGCATATTGGAACTTTCTCAGTGTTGAATTCAGCTTTTTGTTGAGTAATTTACAGCTCCAGATCGGAGGGAAAATATGGTCTTTGGTGGATATTTGAGGTTGGGAATTGAATGATAGAGATTAGGGTATGGAAGAGGACTGTATGTACTACTAGAGACCGGGAACTACTGAAGCAAAGGAAAAAGAAAAGGAGGTTTTCGAGCTTTTCAGGTGAAAAGGGGATCGCGTTTTTCGTCATTTTTTGTGTAGGCTTAATAGTGTAGGGAATGCTTGTGTTATTTGCATTTGGAATTGATATGCAAGAGGTGACGTTTGTAAAGTTTTGGTTTTGCAGACAAGAAAAAGGATCAGATTACTTTGGAAAAGGAAAATCATTTGGTTTGACATAGCTCTTGAAAGGCTTTTGTGGTGGTTTTTCGTGTTTTAACTCGGTCGTCTTAGATTTAGAGTATATTGAAAGGAGTTTCAGATTACTCTGTTGATCACATTGGGATATTTGAAGTGAAGAGCTAGTTTAATTAAGTTGGTTTTGGCTGTTGGTTGGTTTTTGGACTGATTTGAGTTAAAAGGATTAAATGGAGGTGCATTGAAGCTGGAAAGTAATGTGGGGTCATGGTGAATGGACAGAAGTCTAGTTGCTTGTTACTGGAACACTGCTGTGAGAAAGTAACTGAAGGACACTGTTTCCGAAACAGCGCCTTTTTAACTCAGAGTAGAATTCTGTGCCATGTCGCGTTGCTTTCCATTTCCACCACCAGGATATGATAAGAAGCCTAGACCAGAGGACAGGGACTTATTAAAAGAGGTTTGTTTAAGTTATATGGCAATATCATTATTGTGTTGATATGCTTTTGTTATACCAATACTGATATTTCATGACGGTTACCTTATTATAAAGGGATTTAGCTGTGATGCATGGACATATTCGGATGGATTGATTTTTTAAAAAGTAATCTTTGAAGTATGAAGGATACTTTAAACATCAGTAATGTGATTGGATTAATTTATATGGAGAAGACTCTTTTGAAGCTTTGCTCAGTGATAGGGTAATCTTGTTTAAAAGAGATGTATAGGGATATGCTTGTTGTTTTTTCTAGATTAGTGAGGACGTGATGCCTGATTCTTTTGTTTGGTCATGGTTTAGTCATTCCTTTTGGGAATTAAGTTTTTGATATGAAAAAAAGATTCTGGATTTAAGATGAATTTGGCTGACTAATGCAAGTAAAACCCATTGAGTTTCTTTGGATAATCGTGGAATCCATTAGTTGACATCTTAAGGGAACAGTTGTGATATGTTGCAATTATTGATCAGTCTCTTTCATCTAGTGTTGCTCATTGAGTTCTGGAAAACTCATCAGACATTGTAATTATTGTCGTTGGTGAAAAGAATACAAAATGAAGAAAAGAGAAACTTATTGATCAGTCTTATCATTAGCACCTTTTGTGTGAAGGGGTACACCATGGTTCTGTGTAGTGGATATTTCTGCCGTGTGATGTCTTAAAACCTTTGGAAAAATAACCTTTCTGTAGAACTTACTGAGGATATTGGGGATCGTTACTTTTGAAGACCTTAGATTTTAGTGGAGAATGCCTTTATTTTTGTGGCAGCCAAGCAAATATATCCTCAGGTTAAATGGCGTCATTTTAGTTATTATGAGTATGACAGTTTCCTCTTCCCTTTTTTGTTTTCTCTTAAAATATTTTGAATGTGCTACTTAAGTATGAATGGGCGTATCACTGCCTGACCATTTTGCTTTATGTAAATATGCTTTTGCACATGTTCTTTCAGTGGCAACCTGTACTATGTGTGTTTCATAGTGTCCCCCCGATATCCATGAAGAAAGGAGAAACACGAGATACTTACCTTTGTCTTAAAAAAAAGAAAGAAAGGAGAAACATGAGATTTTGAGAATGAATTGTTTGATGTTTTCTCAAGCATTTTGAGATTCAATCAGTATTAGTATCTACGAGTTAAAAACAAAGACATGACTAAATTTACAATTTGAAGATTCGATATTTCAGATATTCCCAAGGTCTTGACTATAAATTTAGAATATTCTTAACTCCATCTCTCAAGTTGAAGAAATACTTGTTTTGAGTATACTCAATTTGGAGCCAGATAATATTTTTCTTAGAATTTTTTCCATATAATCATTTGAGTTGAAGAAACCTCAATCTTTTGTTGAGTAAAATTATAGTCTATTTTTAAACAACTCGTTCTTTAATGAAACACCAAATTTGAAGCAATGTGCAATGCAACTGATTATCGCTGATCAATTTCATTGGTTCATCTTCTCTGTACCTCGACTCTTTGAGAAGTTGCTTTATACAGAAGCTCACATTTAGCCAGTCATTACTTGATATTCTTTTTCTACTCTTGATCTAGCTGCTATTCTTGTCTTTTACTTTCAAGATATTAGATTACCTCCTATTAAAACATGATATAAACAGTCGATCTGAATGAAATAACACCAGAAGGCCTAATAATACTTGCATGTCTCCTATCCTCATACAAAATGGTTGTCCTGGAAAGCCTTTGTTGTTCCTTAGAATGTGAATTGTTATATCTGAACATATGCTACCTGTTTCATTTAGGGCTGTTTGTTGAGCCAAAATCTGACATTAGGTGAATGATTTTGCAGAAGAGAATATGTGTGCCTCACCAAGATTAGGGTGTATATGGTTACAGATTTCATTTAGAACTAGTTCCTTTCAGTATAACTTATCTGAAAACAAGAAGAGGCTTCTTTTACAATTAGTTCACCAATTCAGGCAGTCCCAAGTCCTAGAATAGGAAGTGAATTGCAAGCTTTTGCATGTGTATACTTGTTCACCTGAGGCCTTTTATTTATTAGTCTCTTGAATGATCTTAATAACTTAGACCTGAACCTAATATTCAGTGATCACCTTTCTAGAAGGTGACCTTGTATTGCCCGAGAATTCTTTTGAAGATGGACCTAGGAAAATTGGTTCTGCGCAAATTGCCTTGCCTGTGGATGCCACAAGCTATGCTTCATGAAGCAGCCAACATTCTGACTGGTTTTGGTCAGCTTAGCTTTAGTGTGTGAGGGGAAAGAGAGCGCTCTTATCTCATGGGAAGAAGGATTTTTAGCTTCAGTAGAAAACTAAGATGCAGCAAAGTAGAGGAGGAATTCCCCCGTTCTTTTCTTTCTTAAGAGGAAGAGGGAATGAGAAGGGAGGTATAGGTTGTCTTGCTGTCTGGTAACTTAACAGGGTATTGTCACATTGCAGATTGGGAGGTATCTTAATCCAACCATACAAATCATATCTTTTATACCTCATAATTCATAATGGTGCTAAGTATAGCTAGAAGCAGTCGCTAAAAAGGGAAGAAAAATAAATTCTATTAAAAGTTTCCACTCATAGTGGCGGACTATATATGCTTCATTATGAAGTTTTATTTGAGTTAAAAGGTTAAACTTTGAATCTGCAGCTAGGTTATTCAAAGAAAAGTTTTTAAGTGCCCACAAGAAGTGAATAGGGTGCTACACCAGATGCTTTACCTCTCCTCCTCTCTTCCTGTACGCCCAACTGCTCATCGCATCCTTAATTGTTTCTGGCATAGTCCATTGTTTCTTAACATTAAGGACTGTCCACCACAATTGACTTGCTATTTTACAGTGCATTAGCAAGTGCTTCTTGTCTTCTCCTGAACGCTTGCACTTGAAATATCATCTAACATATATTTTACTGTTCAAAAAAAGAAAGAAGGAATACCAGCTAATATACGTTATTTTCCCTTTCCTCGAGTTCTCTACCATTAGGATACCTTTTGTTGCCATCCAAGCTAACAAGCAAACCTTGGAGCTCTCAGTATCCATATTGAATGATATGGAAATCCTAGGTCATCCCTCTTATGTAGCCTGCGGTAGAATGACTTCGTCTAGAAGATGTTGTTACCTTCGGTTTTGCATTCCCTAATGTCCTGTTCCCGTTATATTCCCAGTTCTTGTAAAATCAATGTTCCTGCACTGTTACTTCATCCTTCCCAATATTAATGACAAGATGGTAATCTGGAGCAACTAGATGAGTTAAGGATGTTTCCCATTCAGGGGTAGAAAATTTTCGAGAAGTTTTGAAACTTATGGAGATCCCTTCCATGTCAATGGAGATTGTAATTATCTGTGCAGTTGAAGGGCAATTAATAAGCATGGAGTGTGTTTACTTTATAGGAGGGTGTAGTAACATGTAGGATTCAAAATTTATTTTTGCTAAACAAAGGTGGTAATTGATAACACGCCAGTGATGGAAAATGGATCAACTTATTGTGTATTGTCAGAAACCACTACATCTTATTTCTTAGCATACTCTAATGTCAAAGCAGTTTGTCCATTTTAGCAGTCGTGTAACTGGCGTCCCATGTTAGTGGAAGCAATGAACTGGCCTTGAATGCCTGTTCCTTGTTCATGAGGGCTAACAAACTTCCTATATATTGAGATGATCTGGCATTTATTTCTCAGATGAGTCAGACTCCAGAGATTCAACTCTTCAGTTGTTAATTATGTGCATTTTAGTGATGTAAATAGGGAAGTTGAGATGTTGCTTGTTCCCTTTTAACCCAAGGTTGTTAAGTTCTGATTCTAGAGGATATAGAAGCTTGTTTTAGTGTGTGAACTACATAGAGCTGGAAAAAAGTGTTGGGAGTTTGTTGTTGACTTGTCTTGTGTTGGAGGATGATACTTTTTTATCATTGATTTTCTTCTCTTTTGGTTTATTTGGCTACCATTGACCATCCCAAAACATAAAATTTTCAGTTGTAGCTCTTTGCCTAAGTTTCACTGCTTTCCAAATTGTTCGTGTGCTTGTTACTATTTTTTCAATGTAATTACATGCCATTGTTTAGTGGTTTTGCTTTCTTATTACTAATTTAACATTGTATGGCTACGTATTCCTTTTCATTTGCTCTAATGAAGGTTAGTGGTTCTCAACCGGTTGTTGGTACTTTTCCTAGGCAACTACTGCAATGTCCTTAGTGCTCTCATGTGTGTATGCTCGTGTAGCCTATATTTAGGATTTCCTCGGAACTCCTAAATCTGATTACCAAGTTTGGTGCTTTTACTCGGTTTCTACAATTTAATTTCTTGCCTCAAGTTTCTTCATTTATTGATATAGAATTGCCATTTTTTCCTGTTCTGTAGGAGAAACGGAAAGAGAAAAAACATAAAAAGGAAAAGGACAAAGATAAGAAAGAAGGTAAAGAAAAAAGGGATAAAGACAGAAGTGATGGGAAACACAGAGAAAAGAAGGACAAAAAGGATAAACACCGGGACAAGAAGGAAAAACACGAGGACAAAAAGAAGGACAAGGATAAGGATAAAGAGAGAAGCGACATCTCTGAAGAGGCAAAAGTTGCTGTTCCACCTGGGGCTTCTAGTGGACAGAAGCTTCCTAGTGGAGACGAACATTTCAAAAATGAAAGCATCAACTCACAGGAAGCGAAATTCCATGATCAGTCTCATGGCCAGCTTGCTGAAAAGCTCTTTAAATCCAGCCTCCCCATTGTTGAGACAGAGGAGTCAAGATATGTGCAGGATTTGGCTAGGAGGCTTAGAGATGACCAGAATGGCGCAGTCAGTCAGTTGGCTGAGAGATTTCCAGTTGAGTCGAAAAGGGATGCGAAGTCAAACAGTATGTATATCAAGGATTCGGGTAATTTGGCTAGAGAAAAGGAAAAGAACAAGGAGAGAAGTGATTTTACCAACAAGATGGATGGACATCAAGTCAGAGTTGAACCGAGAATTGGTGCTAATGCAAAACTTCCGAGCTTTTCAGAGATGGAAAATAGAAACTTTCATGGATTGCTACCACCATTGGAAGAGAATGTTGAGAACAGGAGACAGGACAAAGAGAAATCCAAAGGAAGACGAGATGACAAACCAAGAGACAAGAAGAAGAAAAAAGAAAAGGATGCGAAAAGTCATGGAAAGGATAAAGAAAAGAAAAAGGAAGAGAAGGGGAAGGACAAAAGTGCACACAAGAAAAGTGAAAAGGATAAATCAAAGGACATCAATCAGAGCACTTCTCTCAGTGTTAGTAACACCAACCACCAAGTTCCAGTTGTACTCAAGGATACCATTGCTGGAGTCACAGAGGGAAATCACAGAAAAAGAAAGGATATTGAAACAAACGGTTTCTTGCATGGTGAGTGAACAAAAAATTTAGCATCTGCTATTTTATCGAATACTATATTGCTTTATCCTCTATTGATAGTAGGAAAGCTCTGCAAGTGTGTATATGATTTGTTTCTTATGTTTTTGGCTGTAGCTGTCTGTTAGGTAATTGGTAAGCACTGTTTTCAACATTTTCTTATAAAATTGAATCTAGCATGTTCAGCTTTGATTGTTCTTTGGGTTTGACTGATTAGTGTTGCTTGTTTTCTGTTCCAATGTACAGAGAATGAAGTCAGGCCTGCTAAATTGCTGCGGCCCTCATCCTCTCATCATCCCACACTGAATGGAAAGAGATTAGAGATTCACCAAAAAGCAGACATGTTATCTTCCAACAAACAAGGTGTTGTCACCAATATTCAGGTGATAAACAAGGAGCAGAGTCTCAATGGTACAAGTAAGTTGTCCAACAAGCACGGAGTTGGCACTGATATTGAGATGGGAAACATGGAAACTCACAAAAACAGACATGTTATCTTCCCACAAACAAGGTGTTGTCACCAATATTCAGGTGATAAACAAGGAGCAGAGTCTCAATGGTACAAGTAAGTTGTCCAACAAGCACGGAGTTGGCACTGATATTGAGATGGGAAACATGGAAACTCACAAAAACAGACATGTTATCTTCCCACAAACAAGGTGTTGTCACCAATATTCAGGTGATAAACAAGGAGCAGAGTCTCAATGGTACAAGTAAGTTGTCCAACAAGCACGGAGTTGGCACTGATATTGAGATGGGAAACATGGAAACTCACAAAAAAACAGACATGTTATCTTCCCACAGAGAAGGTGTTGCCACCGACACTCAGGTGATAAACAAGGAGAAGAGTCTCAATGGTACATTTAAGTTATCCAACAAGAACGGAGTTGCCACTGATATTGAGATGGCAAACATGGAGACTCACCAAAAAACAGACATGTTATCTTCCCACAAACAAGGTGTTACTACTGATATTCAGGTGATAAACAAGGAGCAGAGTCTCAATGGTACAATTAAGTTATCCAACAAGCACAGAGTTGCCACTGATATTGAGATGGGAAACAAGGAGCGTGGGGTTAATGGTACAATTAAGTTACCCAACAAGCACGGAGTTGCCACTGATATCGAGGTTGGAAACAAGGAGCGCAGGGTCAATGGTACAATTAAAGGTCAGCCATTAACTATGTCTAAACCAAAGACATTGGCTCAATCTAAACCAAAGGCTTCTTCCATGTCTCCTGGTGCTGATCATATTGCTGAAGCGTCTAAAAGACCTCCTCATCCCGATTCCAAGTATCTGAACCAGATACTCTCAGTTCCCAAGATGGACGAGTGGTCTGGATTTTATGACCAGGAATGGTTGCTTGGAAGCAAGAGTACTCTGGTTAGGAAACCCGACGTGTGTCTTGATGAAGTTAAGGACCATCAGGTATGGTCAGAAGCTTTGCAAATAGACTCTGCTGATGTTTTTGCTCTCCCATACGTAATACCTTATTGACTGCTGTTGACATGATGAGTTTCCAAGGACCAAGCTAAGCTATTTGGCTCGGAGATGCCCATGCTGGGCTCTCGATTGGATTCTTTCTCACCTTCCTACTCTGATGGCTGCATCAAGTTCTGATATTTACTCAAGAGTTAGGTACATCAATCACCATTGCTGTTCTTTTTCGCGGGCTTGACACAGAAGCCATTTGTTGCCATGTACTTGAACATTTAACTGTTACAGCCCCAGATGAAACTAACCTTTGTGTGTAGGAAGTTGCATGCATAAAAGCTTAGATGCCATTCTAATTGTGAGTGTAAACAAACTAGTATTTGTGGTCTTTACAACTCCACACAAATTTTGATTTTGTAATATAGAACTCTGCTATATTGTAAGATAAGAGGGGGGCAAAAGGAAGAAAAAAAAAATCAAATATAAGAAGTAGCAGCTGAATTCATTTTATTTTATTCACTTAGCTCCCATTTTTGTCTATTATCCATATTTATCACTTCCTGATTAACAAAAATAGTATTAAAAACTGTCATTTAAAGGTGTTGCTAAATTTCGAAGAGCAAAACCTTTTGAAGTCTCACACCCCAAAAAAGAGCATAAAAATACTTGGTGATAAGAAACAATTTATCTTATATACGCTAATAATAATAAATAAATACCTCACAATGAGATTAATTATAAAAACAATCCAACGATAACCTTCACAATAGAGTAAGATTTGTATCCTTAAAAATAAAACAGATAGCTGACAAAATAAGAAAAACAATTAATTTGATCATATAAAATTATTTACGCTATCAATGAACATTTAGTATTTAGTTTTTAATTAGGGGGTCAATTTACATGAATTAGATAACCTTTTAGTTTTTCTGGTGTGTTAGCCATGAATGTTTTGGTGATACGGCTTCGAGATGGCTCCTTTGCGAAACTTTCACAAAAACCTCCGTAGGGAGTTGGGGAAGCAACATGTACAATCTCACCATTTTAAGAGTCTATTTTGGGCATTTAGGGCCTAGGGGCCAATTTATAAAAATTAGGCGATTTTCTCAATTTTTCGCGTGTGTTAACCCATGAATATTTTGGTGATATGGCCAGACGATTTCTTTGTGAAACCTTTATGGAATCCTCTGTAAGGAGTTGGAGGAACAATACGTACAATCTCCCAATTTTAAGAGTCCATTTAGGAGCAAATTTAAAAGAAATTAGGAGATATTTTCAGTTTTCGTGTGGGTTAGCCTACGAAAATTTGGTGATACGGGTTCAAGACGATTTATTTGCGAAATCTTTAAGGAAATCTCCATAGGGAGTTGGGGGAGCAGTACGTGCAATCTCACCATTTTCTGAGTTCAGTATGGGTAAATAGGGGTCAATTTAAAATAAATAAGTAATTTTCTAATTTTTCTTGTGTCTTAGCCCATTAATATTTTGGTGATATGAATTTTAGATGATTTAATTGTGAAATCTTTACGAAACCTTCGTAGGGAATTGGGCGAGCAGTACATACAGTCACACAATTTTTAGAGTCCATTTTGGGCATTTAAGGGTCAAGTTATAGGAATTAGGCGATTTTCTTAGTTGTTCGTGTGTGACCTCCGTAATGAGTTGGGGAACCTTCACGTATACTCACACTATTTTTTTAACGTCCATTTCCGCATTTACAAGCCCTTTTTTTGAGAATCGCTTAAATTCCCCAATTTTTCGTGTGTATTAGCCCATGGATCTGGCGCCCGGAGCACCCAAAAAAAATTTCTCAAATTTTTTTATAAGGACCTCTGTAATGAGTTGGGGAACCTTCACGTATACTCATACCTTTTTTTAACACCCATTTCCGCATTTACAAGCCCTTTTTTAAGAATCACCCAAATTTCCCGATTTTTCGTGTGTATTATCCCTTCGATCTAGCGCCCGGAGCACCCAAATTTTTTTCCTCAAAAAAATTTATGAGGACCTCCGTAATGAGTTGGGGAGCCTTCACGTATACTCACACTCTTTTTTTAACCCATTTCCGCATTTACAAGCCCTTTTTTAAGAATCACCCAAATTTCCCGATTTTTCGTGTGTATTATCCCTTCGATCTAGCGCCCGGAGCACCCAAATTTTTTTCCTCAAAAAAATTTATGAGGACCTCCGTAATGAGTTGGGGAGCCTTCACGTATACTCACACCATTTTTCCGTAATTATAAGCTATTTTTAAGAATCGCCCAAATTCCCTAATTTTTTTGTGTGTATTAGCCCATTGATGTGGCGCCCAAAGCAATTTTTTTCTCAAAACATTTTATAAGAACCTCCATAATGAGTTGGGGAACCTTCACGTATACTCACACAATTTTCTTAACGTCCATTTCCGCATTTACAAGCCTTTTTATAAGAATCACCCAAATTTCCCGATTTTTCGTATGTAATAGCCAATGGATATAGAGCCCGGAGCACCCATGTTTTTTTTTCTCAAAAACTTTATGAAAAACTTCGTAAAAAGTTGGGAAACCTTCACGTATACTCACACCATTTTTTAACGCCTATTTCTGCATTTACAAACCACTTTTTAAGAATCACCCAAATTTCCCAATTTTTCATGTGTAATAGCCATGGATCTGGCGCCCGACCCATTCAAATTTTTTTTCTCAATAAACTTTATGAGGACCTTCGTAGTGAGTTTGGGAACCTTCACGTATACTCACACCATTTTTAACGCCATTTCCGCATTTACAAGCCCTTTTATAAGAATCGCCCAAATTTCTCAATTTTTTGTGTGTAATAGCCCATGGATCAGGCGCTCGGACCATCCAAAAAAAAATTCTCAAAAAACTTTATGAGGACTTCATAATGAATGGGGAAACTTCATGTATACTCATACCATTTTTTAACGCCCATTACCGCATTTACAAACCCTTTTTTAAGAATCGCCGAATTCCCAAATTTTTCGTATGTATTAGCCCATGGATCTGGCCCGGAGAACCCAAAATATTTTTCTCAAAAAACTTTATGAGGACCTTTGTAATGAATTGGGGAACCTTCACGTGTACTCACACCATATTTTAACGCCTATTTCCGTATTTACAAACCCTTTTATAAGTATCACCCAAATTTCCCAATTTTTCGTGTGTATATAAGTCCTTGGATCTAGAGCCCGGAGCACCCAATAGTTTTTTCTTCAAAAATTGTATGACGACATTCATAATGAGTTGGGAGCCTTCACGTTTATTGACACCATTTTTTTAAAGCCCATTCCACATTTACAAGTCCTTTTTTGATAATCGCCCAAATTTTCTTATTTTTCGTGTGTATTATCCCATGGATCTGTCATTCGGAGCACCAAAAAAGTTTTTCTCAAAAAACTTTATGAGGACCTCCGTAATAAGTTGGGGAACCTTCATGTATACTCACACAATTTTTAACGTCCATTTCCATATTTTACAAGTCCCTTTTTTAAAATTGCCCAAATTCCTCAATTTTTCGTATGTATTAGCCTAAGAATTTGGCGCCCGGAGTTCAAATTTTTTTTCTCATAAAACTTTATAAGGACCTCCATAATGAGTGGGGGAACCTTCACTTATACTGATGCCATTTTTTTAACGCTCATTTCCACATTTACAACCCTTTTTTAAGAATCACCCGATTACCTGTTTTTTCATGTGTATTATCCCATGGATCTGGCGTCCAGAGAATCCAATTTTTTTCTATAAAAACTTTATGAGGACCTCCGTAATAAGTTGAAGAACATTCACGTATACTCATACCATTTTTGAATGCCCATTTCCGCATTTACAAACCCATTTTTAAAAATCACTCAAATTTTCCGATTTTTCGTGTTTATTAGCCCATGGATCTAGAGCCCAGAGCACCCAAAGTTATTTCTCAAAAACTTTATGAGGACCTCCGTAATGAGTTGGGGAACCTTCACGTATACTGACACCAATTTTTTAACTCCTATTTACGATTTACAAACCGTTTTTAAGAATCGCCCAAATTTCTCCATTTTTCGTGTGTTAATGCCCATCGATCTAGAGCCCGGAGCACCCAAAATTATTTTCTTAAAATATTTAACGAGGACCTCCGTAATGAGTTGGTGAGACTTCACGTATACTCACACCATTTTTAACGCCCATTTCCGCATTTACAAACCTTTTTTTAAAAATCGCCCAAATTTCTCAATTTTTTGTGTGTATTATCCCATGGATTTGGCGTCCGGAGCACCCAAAAAGTTTTTCTCAAAAAACTTATGAGGACCTAATGAGTTGGGGAACCTTCATGTATACTTACACCATTTTTTAATGCTTATTTCCGCATTTACAAGCCCTTTATTAATAATCGCCCAAATTCTCCAATTTTTCGTATGTATAAGCCCATGGATCTGGCGCAGGAGTTCAAATTTTTTTTCTCAAAAAACTTTATCAGTACCTCCGTAATGAGTCAGTGAACCTTTATGTATACTCACACCATTTTTTTAACGCCCATTTTCGCATTTACAAGCCCTGTTTTAAGAATCGTCCGAATTGCCTAATTTTTCGTGTGTATTATCCCATGGATCTGGCTTCCGGAGCACCCAAATTTTTATCCTCAAAAATCGTTATACGGACCTCCGTAATGAGTTAAGTAACCTTCAAGTATGCTCACACCATTTTTAACGCTCATTTCCGCATTTACAAACCTTTTTTTAAGGATCACTAAATTCCCTAATTTTTTGAGTATATTAGCTATAGGATCTGCCACCTGTAGAACCCAAAATATTTTCTCAAAAATTCTATGAGGACCTCCGTAATGAGTTGGAGAACCTTCACATATACTCACATAATTTTTTAACTCCCATTTTCGCATTTACAAACAATTTTTTAAGAATCGCCAAATTTTCTGATTTTTCATGTGTAGCCCATAGGTTTGGCGCTCGTAGCACTCAATTTTTTCTTCTTAAAAAGCTTTATGAGGAACTCCATAATGAGTCGAGGAACCTTTAAGTATACTCACACCATTTTTTTAACGCACATTTCGGCATTTACACGCCCTTTTTTAAGAATCGTCCAAATTCCCCGATTTTTCGTGTGCATAAGTCAATAGATCTGGCGCCCTGATCACCCAATTTTTTTTTCTCAAAAAACTTTATAAGGACCTACGTAATGTGTTGGGGACCTTCATGTATACTCACATTATTTTTTTAAAGTCCATTTCTACATTTACAATCCCTTTTTTTACGAATCACCAAAATTCACCAATTTTTCGTGTTTATTAGCACATGGATCTGGTGCTGGAGCACCAAATTTATATTTTCAAAAAACTTTATGAGGACCTCCGTCATGACTTGGGGAACCTTCAAGTATACTCACACAATTTTTAATGTCATTGTCGCATTTACAAACCCTTTTTTAAGAA